CAGTAGTTTAACATGGCCTCATGGGGGCGCCTGGGCTGCTCAATGGGTTAAGCGTCCAAATTCGGCTCAGGTCATGACCTCACAGTCCATGAGTTCAGTGTCGGGCTCTGTGCTGTCAGCTCAGAGCCTGGAGCCTGCTTCAGATTCTGTGTCTCCCTTTCTCTCTGCCCTTCCCCTACTCGCACTCTGTCTCTCTCTCTCTCTCTCTTTCTCTGTCAATACAAAATTAACATTAAAACATTTTTAAAATAACATGAGCTCATGAACAATGGCCTGAGGAACACTTCAGAAAGTCAGTCTAATCTAGGGATAGGCTAGAATCAGGACACACAGAAGAAGAAACAAAAACAAAACAAAACAAAAATCTCTTTTTTTTTTTTTTTTAAGAGATAGGGAAGGACAGCATAGAAGAAACAGGGACACCCATGTAGGGAAGGGAATGCCACATGGGCAGAGAGAAGCCCCTAATGACATGCTGGAGACAGAGCCCCAGTGAGGAGATGGTGTCCACTATATTCTGAATCAACTAATGACAGTGGAGGTTTGTTAGAGGCCAAGCCCATGAAGTTTTGTAATTGAGTTCTCATTCTGGGAAACTTTTCTGAGTTTTCCTTTCTCAATCCAAGAAACTCTAGGCGGTTGGCTGAGTGGGAACACAAGAAGAAATTTTTCCAGCACTCCACACAAGGTGGCGCCAGACACCCGTGAACTTAATGAGGTCCCCTTCCAAGAGGGCTCCAGAAGCTTTGCAAAAGTTCCTGGAAGGGATCAATCAATTCAGACCAGATTCAAAGGAAACTAAGAGCTCTGCACCCACAGAGAGCCTAAGAATAAAATGGGGCATATAGAAAATAAGAAAAAGTATACACATATATATTATACATAGAAAATATGTATATTATATATATACATAACACATATAAAAGATAGGGAAGAGGCAGACAAACTGAATCTACAAAGGCTCTGTAAAAGGAAAATAAAGGCATGTCACTGGGAATCCCTGGCAGGACAGGAAACAAGGCAAGATGGAAGGACTGGAAATGGAGAGCAGCCAGTAAAGAGGCTGTTGCACATGTCCAGGCAGAAGAGAGTTGTGGCTTGGGCCAGGGATTGGTGGTGTTGGAGAAAAATGCCTTCGGACTGAGGTATTTACATTTACTGCTATTCTTCATTGATATGGTGAGTCAATAAGCCCAACATGACTACATAACAAGACTCACTGAAATGCATTCTATTCATCTTTTTTTGAGAATTCACTGTATTAGCTTTGCTTTTTTTATGTGTTATTATGGACTCATGACATTTCAACTCTGCCAACTGATGTCAGCCAATATTCTCATTCTGATGCTCACACTGTCCCAACTTTGGCTGGTGGGGGCCCTTTTAGATTTCAAACGACCTAGTTACTTAAAGCCAGAAGAAATCTGGCCCAACAAGGTGATAAGTGTTCTGAGATTGCCTCATACTCTTCTGCCCCAGACCAGACATAAAATCAGACATTGTGTCAAGAAACCGTGGCTCCTTTGGGGAGAAAAATAGCATTAAAAACCATAATGCAGGCATTAGTGTGCATTATGGGGTAACATTGCTACTGGGCCATTTTGATGGGAAAAAAGCCAGAAAAGAAAGAAATTTGGGGGCCCCTGCCGGCTCGGTCAATTAAGCATCCTACCCTTGATTTGGGCTCAGATCAAGATCTCACAGTTTGTGGGCTCGAGCTCACATCAGGTGTCATGCTGACAGCCCAGAGCCTGCTTGGGATTCTCTCTCTCCCTCTCTCTGCCCCTCCCCCCGCTCTTGCACATGTGCACGCATGTGTGCACTATCTCAAGATAAAAACTTACAAAAAGAGAAATATATTTTTAATTAAGTGTTTTACAAAGGCATGACTGTGTATTGATATGTTCAATTCAGTTCTAACAATACATTGCTCCTACTCAAATTTTTGAGTCTACAATTGGCTTTCTCTTTCACCAATCCTGAAATCTAGGTTCCTATCAAAATAAATATAACTATCTACTTGCTGTATCTGACAACTTAAGAGAATATCTCCAAAAATAAACCAAAAAAAAAAAAAA